TTGATGGCGGCGAAGGGAGCGGGCTGGACTCACCGTGAACTCCTGGAAGCCGCTGAGGGAGAAGGCGCCCTCCTCGTCCAGGAAGAGCCCGTTGAGGTCCATGGCCCGGGGACAGGGAGGGTCCTCGTCCTCCTCTTCGCTCCTGGGGGGCTCCTTGGTTGGCACCTGAGAAGAAGGCTCCCAGCCCTGACGGCGCCGCAGAGGCGAAGGAAGAAGGGAGGGCCCGGCACCCGCCCCGCCTCGCCTGCCACTTCCTGGGGCGGGCCTTCCTCCGCGGCCGCCCCTTCCTTCTTTTCCCCCAGCGTCAGGCCAGGCGGAAGCCCAGGGAAGGGGGCTGTAATGGCTTCAACGCTACGGAATCATATGGGGGGATAGTATGATAGCTGGGTCCGAAAGTTCGGTAATAGTAGGAAAGCTGGGTCCGGAAGCGCCGAGCCTTACGGAGACGTCGCATCGCTCCTTTGGGAGCGCTGTTTGCGCAAGAGAGACTTAGCTAATGCAAGCCAGGCCGGAGACAGAGAATATACAAGGAATGGAAGAGTTCTTGGTAATAGTATGAAAGCAAAGTCGGGAAGCTCTGAGCCTTACGCTCTTTCCGCTTCGCTCCTTCGGGAGCGCTATTCGCGCAACACAGACCGGAACACACAGATATTATAGAAGGAATGGAAGAATTCTTTAATGATAAAACCCAAACCCTAAACCTTACCTTAAACCTTAGTCCTAATCCTAACCCAAACCCTAAACCTTACCCTAACCCTAACCCCTAAGCCAGGCCCGTAGCCAGGATTTCGTTTCGGGGGGGGGGGCTGAGTCTGAGTGAAAGAGGGTCTACCCTAGCAAACCTTTTATATCATTACCCCAATACCCCCATGCATATGGGATATATTGAGTATGGTGATCAGATCATGATATGAATAAACATAACAGTTTAAATAATGCACCAGTAAGGCCTTTTCGCGAACCACCATGAGAATTTCGGGGGGGGGGGGCTGAAGCCCCTCAAGGCCCCCCCCCAGCTACATGCCTGCCCTAAGCCTAATTCTAACCCTTACCCTAAACCTTACTCTAAACTTTATCCTAACCCTCCCCTCTTTTCTATCCTTCGACCAAATTGAAGTTTATTCCCGCCTTCAGTGTGCCACTCTCCCCCTCCCTTATTCACAACCGCCATTGCGGAATGTGCGTAACACTCAGAGCTTCGGGACCCAGCTATCATACTATCACCAAGTTCTTTAATGGTGAAACCCTTACCCAGAACTGTACCGCAAGCCTAAGCCTAACCCCTTACCCACACCTTTACACTAACCCAAACCCTAAACCTTACCCTAACTGTAACCCCCAACCCAAACCCTAAACCTTACCCTAACCCTAAACCAGGGGTCCTCAAACTAAGGCCCGGGGGCCAGACACGGCCCTCCAAGGTCATTTACCTGGCCCTCACTCAGGGTCAACCTAGGCCTGAAATGACTTGAAAGCGCACAACAACAACAACAATCCCATCTTATCAGCTGAACGCAGGCCCACACTTCCCATTGAAATACTAATAAGTTCATATTTGTTAAAATTGTTCTTCATTTTAATTATTGTATTGTTTTTAAGTATCTTTTGCACTACAAATAAGATATGTGCAGTGTGCATAGAAATTCATTCTTATTTTTTTTCCAAATTGTAATCCGGCCCTCCAACAGTTTGAGGGGCTTTGACCTGGCCCACTGTTTAAAAAGTTTGAGGACCCTTGCCCTAAACCTTACCCTAACCCTTACGCTAACCCAAACCCTAAACCTTACTCTAACCGTAACCCCTAACCCTTACCCTAACCGTAACCCAAACCCTAGCCGTAACCCTTACCCTAAGCATCCTGTCCTTTCTATCCTTCCTTCTCTCTCCCCACTCTCACACCACCCCCTCACTTCTCTTATTTACAGTCACCTTTGTGGCATCTCCGTAACGCTCGGAGCTTCTGGACCCAGCTATCATACTATCACCAAGCTCCGAGCCTTACGGAGATGCTGCATCGCTCCTTCAGGAGTGCTGTTTGCGCAAGAGAGACTTAACTAATGTAAGCCAGTGTTGCAATCCAGAGCAGGGAACGAGGCCCTAAGATAACTATCCACCACACTTGACTGTGAAAAACAATCCTTTTTTATTGAAGAAAAATGATTACAAAATAAAGGAAAAATGCAAGTCAAAAGCCACAGCAAAATCAGCAAACATGAATTTAAATGGACAAAGCAAAACCCAAAGCCACACTGTAAAATACTGGAACCTGTAGCAATCCACTAACCGTACTTGATATCCTAGAAATCTTTCAAAACCATGGCCAGGGGAAACGGGGAGAACTGCCAAGGTCTTCATTAATCTGAAACGATGCCTGAACTGAGAAAGTCAGCCCAGTGGAAGGCAATTAAAGCCAAAGAATTGGTTCCATGAACCGCCCCTCTTCTTTGAAGCCAATGTTTGTAATTCTTTAATTCGGGAAGACCTTCGCAAGCTGAGTGATTTACTTCTGTCTTGCCAAATCTGGCCCCTTCTGTTGTCATTACAGTTACCAGGTGCAGAAGGGAGGGAAAGGTCAAGGCTTCCCTCTGAAACATTCTCATGAACACTGGTACTTTCATTTTCCAAATCTACAGAAGTTCCTTCCTCACTAATTTCAGGAACATTGGCATTTTCCAAACCTACAGCAATTTCTTCCTCACTAATTTCAGGAGCATTGGCATCAAGAGGTACATTTTCATTAGCATCAGTAAATATATTTTCATTAGCATCAGGACTTGGTTGATTCCACTTTATTGGCTATTGCTGCAAGTAATGATAGTGTGAATAAATTGTCAAATTTTGCTTGAGATAGTGCTTACAGTTCTGGAGGGACTATTTAAATTTTTGCTTCTCATAGACTTAGCATAGAGATTTGGTTAAAATTCATGAGTAAACCAGTTTTTTTAAAAAAACTAAAACTTCATGGCTGGAGAGAAAATATAATTATAAAGTGCTATAAATCCTGGGCTTCTGTTACAGATCATAGAATCATAGAGTTGGAAGAGACCTCATGGGCTATCAGTCCAACCCCCTGTGAAGAAGCAGGAAAATTGCATTCAAAGCACCCCCGACAGATAGCTATCCAGCCTCTGTTTAAAAGCCTCCACCAGGGCAGAAAGTTCCACTGCTGAACAGCTTTCACAGTGAGGAAGTTCTTCCTAATGTTCATATAGAATCTCCTTTTCTTTAGCTTGAAGCTATTGTTCTGCATCCTAATCTCCAGGGCAGCAAGCAACAAGCCTGCTCCCTCCTCCCTATGACTTCCCCTCACATATTTACATATGGCCCTCATCATGACTCATCTCAGCCTTCTCTTCTTCAGGCTAAACATGCCCAACTCTTTAACCCACTCCTCATACGGCTTGTTCTCCAGACCCTAGATCAGTAGTTCTCTAACCTGTGGGTCCCCATGTGTTTTGGCCTATAACTCCCAGTTTACCAGCTGTTAGGATTTCTGGGAGTTGAAGGCCCAAACATCTGGGGACCCACAGGTTGTGAACCACTGCCCTAGATGCTTTGAGTTGCCCTTCTCTGGACATATTCCAGCTTGTCAAGATCTCCCTTCAATTGCGGTGCCCAGAATTGGACACAGTGTGATTCCAGGTGTGGTCTGACCAAGGCAGAATAGAGGGATAGCATGACTTCCCTGGATCTAGCACTAGACTCCTGTTTATGCTGGCTCATTGTTGGGGTTCAGCCTGAGTTTGAACTTGAACCTGATTCTCTGTTTGTTCCTCCTGATGCTAATGAAAGTATATTTACTGATGCTAGTGGAAATGTACCTTTTGATGCCAATGCTCCTGAAATTAGTGAGGAAGAAACTGCTGTAGGTTTGGAAAATGCCAATGTTCCTGAAATTAGTGAGGAAGGAACTTCTGTAGATTTGGAAAATGAAAGTACCAGTGTTCATGAGAATGTTTCAGAGGGAGACCTTGAACTTTCCCTCCCTTCTGCACCTGTTAACTGTAATGACAACAGAAGGGGCCAAATTGGGAAGACAGAAGTAAATCACTCAGTTTGCGTCGATCCTCCCGAATTCAAGAATTAAAAACATTGGCTTCAAAACAGAAGGGCGGTTCACGGAACCAATTCTTGAGTTTTAATTGCAATACGCCGAGCTGATTGTCTCAGTTCAGGTTAAAAAAAAATAAACCTGGTTTACTCATGAATTTTAACTGGTTAACGAAATCCCCAAGCTAAGTCTATGAGACGCAAAAAATTAAGAGTCCCTCCAGAACTGCAAGCACTATCTCAAGCAAATATTGACAATTTATTCACACTGTCATTACTTGCAGCAATAGCCGGTGTAGCGAAGCAACCAAGTTGGGGAGGGGGAGTGTTGGACGCTCTCATTAAGGAGGCCAGACTTGGTGGAGATTGTTGACAGGGGCAGAGCTGCAAGCTAATGAAGGCTGCTCTGCCTCTGCTGTGCTCTTTGCTTCAGCGTGAGCTAGGAGGCAGGTTTCACCTCCCCCCCCCCCGAAATTTTCAACCCCTCCCGAATATTTTTTCAGGCTACGGCCCTGGCCAGGCGTCCCCCATTCTGTATCTTGGCATTTCATTTTTTCCACCTAAGTGGGGCATCTTGCATTTGTCAATCAATTCAAAGCTATTCCAGGTCATGATGGCTGAGGCTCCTTTAATCCCTTCTGGCAGTGTATTCCGGGGCTTTGGTTTATATACAAACTAAACTCCGCTCTTCCAGGTGTTTTGAACCTCAATTCTCAGAATTCTTGATAGTGGGCAGAATCCGCTAAGGCTTCTGGGAGCTGAAGTCCAAAACGCCTGGAGGGACAACGTTTGGAAACCATTGTACTTCTTGCCTTTCCGCTTTATTGACGTTGCGATCAAACGGCGCCTGCGCAGTTGCGCCTGTGTCTCCTTGATGTTCCCGGCCGGCGCGCGCGCGGGCTGGGGGGGGGGGGGGGGGGGGGGGGGGGGAGGTAGGCGGGTGCGGCAGGGTTCACGTGATTGGGCCTGGCGAGGGAGTTCGCCTCAGCGCGCGGCGGCTACTTCCGGTGGCGGCTGTCAGGAGGGCTCCCTGCTTCCCTCCCTCCCTTCCTCTCCGCGCCCCGTCCCTTTCCCGAGCGCTGCCTGAGGCGATGGCGAGCGACGGCGAGAGCGTCCCTGCTGCGGCGGCGGAGGAGCCGGTGTCCGGTCCCGGAGGCTCAGCCTTCGAGGCCGCTGAGGAGGAGGAGGAGCAGGAGGTCTCGGCCCTGGCGGTGCGGCTGCGGCGCCGCCTGAGGGGCTGGGAGCCCACCGTGGCCGCCGTTCAGCGGCTCCTGGTCTGGGAGAGGCCGCCGCAGAGCCTGGCCGGGGCCGCCGCGCTCGGAGCCGCTCTCTGGTGAGGAAGGCGGCGGAGGGGGAGTAGGCCTCGGCCGGGGGGGGGGGGAGATGCTCCCTTGCGGCGCGGAGGGGCCCAGAGGCGGCGGGGACGAGCTTCTCGAACTGGTCGCGCCCCTGGCGTCACCTGCACGGTCGAATTAATGCAGTTTGACACCGCTGGAACTGTCATGGCAGGATGTTAACGGGATCCTGGGAGCTGTAGTTTGGAGGAACACCAGCACTCTTAGGCAGAGAAAGCTGAAGGCTTTGTGAAATAACCACTGCCACAGTATCGAACTACGGCAGTGAAAGTGGTGTCAAAGGGCATGTCTTAGGCAGTGGAGATGCAGCCCAGAGTTGGTGTCCCCTACTATGGTGCCACCCACTCAAGAGACCTCCTCCCAGACCAGACCACAGTTTTGTAGCTAAGATGCCTGAAAAATGGTCAAAATCAGTGACTACAAAAAAACCAAACGCACCAGCAAAAAAAACCAAAAAAAAACAAAAAACCAGTGCATGCTTGTAGCCCATCCATGTGGTTTATTATTATTATTATTATTATTATTATTATTATTACTTTGAAACACAACAAGATGAGTCCACAGCAGACACTCTGCTGGCTGTTGAATTGGATCACACGTAGGACACCTCCACATGTGGACACTGTGTGATGTATCCGCGAAAAATGCATGCAAATCTCAGTAAGGTGGCCTTCTGCAGCTGGCAGATGGTAATTTTGTCAGTGCCAATTGTGTTTAAGTGCAGGCCAAGGTCTTTACGCAATGCACCCAGTGTGCCGATCACCACTGGGACCACCTTGACTGGCTTGTGCCAGAGTCTTTAAATCCTCATATTGTGTCAGCGTTTCCAGTTGTTTCTCTGCAGTCCTGCTGTCACCTGGGATTGCGACATCGACAATCCATACTTTGTTTTTTAACACAATGAGGATGCTTGCCATAGATGCAGGCGAAACGTCAGGAGAAATGCCTCTAGAACATGGCCATATAGCCCGAAAAAACCCACAAGAACTGATATGATCTATTGTTTCATCTGCTTCCTTGCAGAGTCTACATCATCATCATCATCATTATTTAGAATACAATTATTATTATTTAGAATACAATGCTAGAGTTGGAATTGCCCCCAAGGGTTACCGAGATCAACCCATCCTGCCATTGTGCTATAAACAAAGCACCCCTGACAGATGGCTATTCAGCCTCTGCTCCAGAGAAAGAGACTCCACCACACTCTGAGGCAGAGAGTTCCACTGCTTAACAGCTCTTACAGTCAGGAAGTTCTTCATAATGTTCTGGTGGAATCTCCTTTCCGGTAAACAAAGCACTCCTTACAGATGGTCATTCATCCTCTGCTCCAGAAAAGGAGAATCCGTCACACTCCGAGGCAGCCTCATATCCCCCAGCCAAATAGCTCCTACAATCAGAAAGTTCTTCCTTATGCTTAGGTGGGATCTTGGTTTGTTTGTTTATATCTCTTTCTGTCTGTAGCTCAGCCACCCATGTGAGTAATTTCAGGTTTTAGAATGTTTTGCAGAATTACAGATAAGAGATGCTTAATCTATACTAGCGGTTTCTTGGGATGCTTGGGGGAGTATATTCCATAGGAATCAAATTACCTTGCTTCTGAATAAGTGTGGGTGAGATGTCACTGCCTCACCTGTCTGTCCAGAAGGCCCAATAGGAAAGACGTTGTCAGTCTGTGATGTATGAATTGGGCTTTTGTTTGAGCTTTAGTATAGGGTTTTAGATTGTGGGTAAGGTCTGGAATTGGCCAGTGAAAGCTTTAAGAAAGAAGGAGCAATCAGCTGAGTTCTTTTTGAAATAAAACATATCCATTTGATTCCTTTACAGGTACCTCATATTTCTTCTTATTTTGGATTAGCTTTTGTTGATCTGAGCTGCTGCTTCCTGCTTTTCTAAGGAGCTCAAGATGTCACCCACGGGGAAAAGGTCCCAGGGCTGTTCTCCTTGTGTGGCATAACCTTATGTGGCAGGTTGAGTTGAAAGACAATGATTTCCTTAGTAATGACTTGGCTGAGCTGTGTGGTCAAGCTAGGATTTGCATCCAGGTCTACTAGATTCAAGTCATGTTGTTGGGATAAAGAGAATGATGCACAGCAAAAATGTGTGCATAATGTGTGTATCTAGCAAGATAGTACAGTAAACTGTACAAAGATTTTGAATAGATTGAAGCATTGAGATGATTTCCCCCCCTTGAATTCTAGATAAGGAAACATGTTTTAATAAAGGCCAGCATGTATGAGAAATCTGCAATTAAGAGGAAGTTGATTGGTAGCAGCATAAGACAGGCAATGGGTACAAATAATTGTAGAGTGTAATGACAAATTGGAATGGCCACAGACTACGATATTGGATTGCATGATTTTAAATAATTGGTTTTAAAGGTTTTATTATTATTATTTTAGATTGTTTAAATGCTTATATTTTTATTGTTTTTGGCATCTAATTGTTGCCTATATATGTAAGCCACCTTGAGTCCCCTATGGGGTTGAGAAAGTATAAGTACAGTATAAATAAATAATATAAATATAGTAAATAAGTAAAAATAAATAAATACAGAACAATGGGAAGTACTTGAAAAATTGTCCTATCACCCATGAAATGTATATGCAAATCAAAAGTGGTGCCCATAAAAGAACATTTGAACAAGGAAGAGAGTTTATGTTTTTTTCCATTGCTGAAGTGCAGTAAAGCATATTAGGCAATTTATTGTGTAGAGGACACCAGTTTGACTTTCCTCGGTAGTCAAGATTGCTCTTTTTCCAACAAAGACATGTCATTGTATACATATCTCCCAAAAGGAGGTGATAATAGAAGCAAGAGTTGGTTCATATAGAACATGGCATGATTCCAGCCATAAGGTTGGTATACTGATATTCACTATAATAACACTATTCAGTTATGAACATAGTTGAATTGTTATTTGATAGTGGGTAGATTGTATATGAAAATCATGGTTGATTCTCTGCTTCAAACCCAAAAGCGATATAGATTGTCCTTTTTATGTCATCTACCTTTTTTATTCTTGGCTTTATATTTATACTTTTGTACCTTTGTTCTTTACATGAATAGGCCTTAGAAGTTATCAGATCACTTATTCTTCTAGACTAGTACTGTGTGTAGTTCAGAAGTATGCAAAGTATGGCCTCAGAGTGCATTTAGTCCTCAGGTTCCCCTCCCTCAACCCTTAATACCTATCTCAAAATTGCTCCCGGTGTAAAATGTATCTCAGAGGCTATATAGTTTTGTTTTTATGGATTTAATCTGAATTGTTTTTAATACTAATGATGTTCAATACTATTTTAATATTTGTATATTTTAAATTGTATTATACTAGTTTTACTGTTAGCCGCTTTGAGTCTCCTTATGGAGAGAAAAAGCGGCATGTAAATAAACATATAATCATCTGGAGAAGTAATGATGTGCATAATTCACTCCTACTGTATATTATGCCCTCAAAGGCCATTTCTTAGAATCAGAAGTCACAGGCCCTGTTTTTCAGCTATCCTTTTTGGCCCACATGGGCCCAAGAGCCTACTTTAGATTTTATATTGGTTGATTTCCTATGGACATCACCTCTGATTCCTAAAATCCTTGAGATTCAAAGAGCTAGGGGTTTAGAGTTCCTGCCTTCAACTCTTACGTTTTGTCATTAGTTGTATAGAAATGGGATCTTTCCCATATTTAATTTATCCTGCATGCAGTGCTGGAATTGTACCAGGTAAATGGTACTATTCCTGGGTCCACTGTAGGTGTAAATCTGATGCACAACTCAGAAAACTTTGCTTTGATACAGATGTTTTGATGTTCTCTTTGGTTGATCTGAGAAGGAGTGCAGTTATAGCCCAGGATGTGTAACGTAACACTGAGTGAGTGTTGCCTCAAGTAACCTTCCTACTTCACTCAGAAAGTATAAACAGACTTCTCCCTCACACATGGGTGATGCCAAGAGTGTCTCCAGGACTTGGCATGTGACAAACAAGGGCTGCTATTAACAGCTGCAGATAGCTGCAAGTTCGCCTAGCAGTGTTTCTAGTTAAAAGTTTGTGTTCTCACTGTGTTGGAGCCACATGGTCTGCACTATCCCCAGCTTGGAGGTGGTAGCTTAGTAATACCTGGCGGTGTACCAGCTTGTAAGTCAGACAAGCTGCTAGTTGCCCTCTGCCAAATGAACCCTTGTTAAGCCTCGTAGTCACTCAGAACTGCAATGCTAGTACATTCTTTCCTTTTTGCCTACCCTGCTCCTGCATACACAGCAATATTTAACAAGCACAGCCAGTTAAAATGTCCAGCAAGCTGTGATAAAGCAAAACATCCTGTTTATGTTTAAATATAATATACTGACTATCAGCAGAGCAGATTCACTGGCCGGAGACAGTACAGTACAGCCTAAAGGCTTCAATTGTAGAGATCACAGTTCGAAATAGTAGTTGTTGTTCTGACATATGACATCTTTAGTGTTTTATGGTGGTAAAGAAGGAAGTTGGGCTCTGCCAGAAAAAAAATCTTTCCACATTAAAAAAGCAAAACAAATAGACATGGGATTTTTTTAAAAAATTATTTCCCATACTTGTACCCTGCCCTTTTCACCCCGAAGGTGACTCAGGGCGGCTTCACAACTGACAGCAATTTGATGCCTGGAAAGACTGGAAAGAGAAGAGAAAAGGAACTAATATTCCATTTTTATGAGGTGCCCATGTTGGAATTAAGATACTATATGAAGTGCTGCCAACATGGTATTTCCAGGTGACTGGCTACCTATACTTTCTTTTCTCAGTTGCACATAATATTGGTTTTCAGGCTATATTCATGATATAATGGGCAGTGTTGGGTTTTGGAAACAGAAGAGATTATTATTGGAAATATGTGCCAATATGTGACTTATAACCTAGATCAGGGGTGAGGGATTTATGGATCACAGAAGCTTCCCATACAACTTTTGGAAATCCCCTCCTTAGCCCCACATCTGGAAGAGAAGGTCTGAGCCATGATCTGAAATAACAATAGGGATTCTCATTTGCATACTAAACATTTTTATAATTAACTTTAATCACAGTCTGTGTCCCATGTTATCTTCAAAAGAAGATAATGTTGTACAGTTAAAGATGATCCAATCAAGGCAATTGACAACATTTACCTGCAGCCATCATGTCATTGCACACAAGTTTTTTTCTCCTAAGCCCCAGGTGCTGTTGTATCCAAAACGGCAACAACGACAGTAGTGAAATGCACACATCAAAGAATTATGTTGCAGAGGACTCAGGGGAGGTGGTCAGTATTGTCTGCAAACAATGGCTGTCTATAAAATCCATTTTAAGAAAAGATGTGGGCTGCTGGTTGTAAACCCATGGTACAGCCTGGCAGTATTTCCTTTAATGTTTGTTTTAATAATTTTCTAGGCTGTTCTCCTCCACTTCATTGCGTCCCCTGTTCCTCCTCAGCACTGGTCTTATTGGTGTTCTTCTGCTGGAGAGATGGAAGCCACAATTCCTATTGGATATCTCAGGTAAATGAGATTACTGATAGTTAACCCAGACAAGGAAGTGCTGAATTTCCTAAGCAGGAACCATCTTTTTTGGTTCCCATATTCTTTCATATTTACTACATTGCTTCTTGCCCTTCAGCTTTGATTTCCTGCCTGTCAAACCCTGGACTGTGCCTCTTTTTTCATGTTAACAATTTTTAGAGCATAAAATGCTGTTTATTATTCAGGGATGGAACTGCAAATTAGTGGATGGCAGTAGACAATTGCTGATTTAGCAAACAATTATTGATTTCTTGAGAGAGTTTCCAGCAAATGTTGCTTGTTTGTTGTTGTTGTTGTTGTTAAGCCAAAGTAAAGAACCTATCTAGCTTTCATGGGAAACGACGAGAGGGAAGTTCGTTTTTCTTGTTGTGTTCATTTCTTTGCTCCTGTTGGCTTGTACAAAATGGTGGATTTTCTCTGTCATCAGATATTAATAATGCAAAGGCAATTCTTATGTTTGTCTGAAGTAAGATGAAGTGTAGCAAGTTATTCTGTAACAAATACCACATCTTCTTCTAATTTCTAAAGACTGTGGACCCTGCACCTAGGGCTTAACAAATCTTGGATTTATCAAAGAGTCCAAGTGACAGCTCTGTGATATTAACACTTTTCTCCATTTCCCCGTGAGTTCACCAGATAGAGATTGTGTCTTAACAGCTATAGACACTGTCACAGGATTGTCTCTAATATTAAACTTCCTGTCTATTGATCCATGGAAGAAAGGCTGTGTGACAGGTGGCTTCTTGTAAGTAGTTTAATGCTTGTCCAAGTTGCAAACAACCCTTTAAAGTCTGGCCTTCTTTAAACAGCATCAATGATATTATCCTAAGTCTTGTAAGAAGCGTGCTGGAGGGCAAAACATTAGTGAAAGTCACCTGTTGCGTGTGATCATGAGTTGATTTACAAGATGTGACTCTGCCCAAAAGGCCTCCTCTAAACACAGCACTGGCTAAGGGAATGTTTTGAGAGGGAACACACTAGATGCCCTGTGTCAAGCAACAATTAACAAGGTAGCCCAAGTAATATGATTTTTTTTGTTGATCTCTCACATCCTACTCTGACAATGAGATATAACCTGTCCGATTGACTTTATGGTTTTTAATGATGTCTGTGTTTCCCATCTCACCAAATGATGCAAAGCATCAGTGACATTTTTTAAAAAAACTGGCAGTGGACCTTAGCTTTTATGTGAGAAGCATATCTTTTTAGAGAGCAAGATCAGGAGGCATTGAATTTATGTTAAAAATTATTCAAACTAAGTTTTTTTTAAAATTCCAGTTGTAACACTGGTAAATAGTGTTGCAATGCTTTTACATAACATAAAACAGTAAACCATCCTAGGTGAGCTGAGGTGTGTTTTCAGGACTCCTGTTGAGATTCCTCCTCAGTTAACTAAAGATAAACCTTGATTTATCTAAAATCAGCAGATAGACTGTCACTTGAAGAAGCCTGGACACTACTTTGTAACCTGATGTCATCCTGCTTCCTCTCCATATGAAGGACCAATTATTTTGCAGAATGGTTTCAGTATGCAAAATATTATTATATCTACATATTTCTATAGAGACTTTAGTTCTGGACATCCTGCTTGATTTTGCTTTTCTTGCTTCTTGCATTTTATAACAGAATTCAGCTGTTCAGTGTGGGAGTATGTGCTGATCTTCGGTTCACTGTGAAAACCCAGTTTTTCCCTTGGAATTAGAGTTGATTATTGTCAGCTTAGATTTCTTTTGAATCATCCAGATGTATAAGGTTACAACAGAAGGGGAGGCTATAATGAAGCAAATAGACAAGAATTACATAGCTCGACAACATTCTGCTTTAAAAACCGCCTCATGGAAGCCATTTATATTCCTTTTCTCCCCATACATGATGGCTGGACTCAACATTATGGTAGCCAACAGTATCAAAAGAGCAGGCGAGCAAAATAGTCAGCATATTTGTAGCTGCGGTAAATGGGCCTTGTGGGCATACACATTTGTTAACAATAGTAGCTTTTCATTCCATTGGAATGGTCACAGATGCTTCATGGGGGATGTGTCTGCTGCATTGCCCAAGTCCCTACCAGAATCTCGGTTTGTCAAGGAAGACTCTGATTAGCTCCCAAGCCTAAGGCTGATTGCCTGGAATCTGGGTCACAGACGTAACAAGATTGCTTTCTGCCATTCTAGTTCACCAACCTGTCAGTTGTGTCCTTGTGGCCCTGAGCTAGCCCTGAGTGCAGTAGCTTGTAAGAACTGCACACAGAATATTTTAAATAATGGTACAGCATGTCAGCAGCAACAGATAGTCAAATCTGGTGAGTTTCAATTGTCTGGCATGTAAAGGATTATTCACAGTGCTCCTGTATAACTAGGTTAGTAAATCTCAGATGACTGGTTGCATTTTAGGTCCTTCCCAGATGTCTTTGCAGTCACAAGGAATTGCTCATATTTGATGCCAAAGCAGATCAGCTTCTGCTACAATCCTGCACTCCAAATTCAGTCATACAGATCGATATACATTTTGTGTAATTGTTATTATTTTTTAAATTTATACCCCACTTTATCCCCCCAAAGAGGACTCAAAGCAGCTTGACACAAGAGTATTGGTATCCAATTTAAAATATACAAATATGCAAACATAAAAATAAAATTGAACTCAAACAGTATTTAAAAAGTCAGTTTAAATCCATAAAACATATTCAAAGTTAAAAAACATAGCACCCCTCAACCAGATCTCAAACATCATCATCTTTAAAAACCTGTTTGAATAAAAAGGTGTTCGCTTGCTGCCAGAAGGTCAGCAGGGAGGGGACCATTCTGGCTTCCCTGGGAAGGGAGTTCCAGAGTCGAGGGGCAGCCACTGAGAAGGCCCGCTGTCTCATTCCCACCAATTGATCTTGAAATGGAGGTGGAAGTGAGAAAGGGGCCTCTCCTGAAGATCTCAGGGACTGGACAGGTTAGCAACCTGGCTGCAGCTCTTTGGACCAGCTGAAGTTTCCAAGCACTCTTCAGAGGCAGCCCCACATAAGGACAGCAGTCCAGATGGGATGTAACTAAGGCGCATACCACTGCGACGAGATCTGGCTCCTCAAGGAATGGGCGCAATTGGTACACAGGTTTTAATTGTGCAAAGGCCCTCCTGGCCACCTCCGACACCTGGGCCTCCAGGTTCAGTACCGAGTGCAGGATGACCCCGAAATTGCGAACCTATGTCTTAAGAGGGTGCGTAACCCCATCCAGCACAGGCTGAATCCCTATTCCCTGATCTACCTTCTGACTGACCAGGAGTATCTCTGTCTTGTCTGGATTATACTTAAATTTGTTTGCCTTCATCCAGTCCATTACTGATGACAGGCACTGGTTTAGGGTCAGAATAGCTTCCTTGGCATTTGGTGGAAAGGAGTAGTAGAGTTGGGTGTCATCCACATATAGGTGGCACTGAAACCTTTACCTTTACCTTAGGGTCCAAAACAGCATGTGGAACAAAATGGAATCCTGAGGAACCCTACCGGTCAAAGGCCAGGGATTCAAACAGGAGTCCCCCAGCATCACTTTCTGGGTACGGCCCTCCAGGAAGGACTGGAGCCACTGTAAGGCAATGCCTCCCAGTCCCATCCCAGCGAGATTGCCCAAGAGGGTACCATGGTCAATGATATTGAAAGCTGTTGAGAGATCCAGAAGAACCAAGAGAGTCACACTCCCCCTGCCTAGCTCTCTTTGCAGGTCATCCACCAAGCCGACCAAAGCTGTCTTTGTTCTATAGCCAAGCCTGAAACCTGATTAAAATGGATCTAGATAATCTGTTATATTGTCTTCCTTGATTATTATTATTATTATTATTATTATTATTATTATTATTATTATTAGACAAGTTTATGATACTACTGAACTGCTGCTTCCATTTTCCCTGGCCAGCCTCGCAAGTGGTGAGGACTGCTGGAAACTTTAGGTCATTAGCGTCTTGAGGCCTCTGGTGGTGCAGCGGGTTATACCATTGAGCTGCTGAACTTGCTGACTGAAAGGTTGATGGTTTGAATCCAGGGAGTGGGGTGAGCTTCCACTGTTAGCCCCAGCTTTTGCCAACCTAGCAGTTCAAAAACATGCAAATGTGAGTAGATCAATAGGTACTGCTTTGGCGGGAAGGTAACAGCACTCCATGAAGCCAGGCCTGCCACATGACCTTGGAGACGTCTACAGATAACACCAGCTCTTTAGCTTAGAAGTGGAGATGAGCACCACCCCCCAGTCTGACTCGATTAAACTTAATGTCAAGTGGAAACCTTTACCTTTACCTTAGGGTTAGGAGGCAATGTGTTTGCAGTCACTGATTTGAACTTATTGATCACTTAGTTGAATTATATTTTTTGCCTTCTTCTACAGCTCAACCCTTGGAAGAACCTGGAGGAGACAGGTGGGTTTACTTACAATATATGATTCTGAGTATAGAGATCTTACTTGCCATCCTTTGTCCTTGATTTGTGCAGAAGGTTGGAACACTTTGATTTCTGCTGTGGCCTGAAAAATGTTTTCCAAAATTCCTTCTTTTGTAACGTGAGTCTTTGAAGTTTTGATATGTATTTCACAAGCTGCAATATGAGGGGCTTCTTCATTATTCATTTATTTGAAAAACTCAGTTTGCCTCACTTTGGAGAATTTGCTCTCTGTACTGTCTGTGGGAAATGTTACTTCCATGCTTATGGTTCTTGTAATTACTGTATGACAGTGTACATGGAAAGCCTGGTTTATCAAAGTTTTGTTTCCATTATGTAGTGATAGTGAAATGACAGGAGCACAACCTCATTTGCTCAGTGTCCCAGAGCTCTGCCGGTGTCTGGCTGAGAGTTGGATTACATTCAGGCTGTACCTATGGGAGCTATTGCAATACAAGAGGCAAAACCCTGCCAAGGTAAGCAGGCAATCAGCTGGTAGGGGTGATAACTTGTGAATTTTCTCCTGCTGTCTTTGGACTTTGGCTTCCTAATATTTATTTGCACCTACACTTTAGACTGTATCATGCCTAACTGTGATTCATTATAGGAAAAATACACCTGTTCAAGCCCAATTAGAAATAACCTAAATGTAATCAAACAATAGGAAACAATAGGAAATCTCAATAGGAAATCTTAGAGAAACCAAAAATGGAAATATAATTTTCACTGCCACATCACTCTAGTCAAAATGCAGGCTATGCCAGTGTGTTCCTGCCACATCCCAGGAACTATCCTGCGAAAGTCATCTGCGTGAGAACATGCTCTTAAGCCAGACCGGCATATTTATGTAATGGTTAACATTAAAAGCAGCAATGATATCTTGCTTCTTTTTTTGCCTCAGTAAGCAATCCAAAATGCATGATGTAATGTCATTATACTGTACATTTCTGCTTCCTCCCCCTTCACTGTAGAGGAGTATTGCAATGTGATGAAATTGCTTCATTTCTATTAGTAAACATTAAACGAGAACAGGTGTGTAACTATTGCATACCATGACAACCTCATGTCTGCTGGAATATGAATGTTATACAGTTTTACACTCCTGGTATGTGACCGTAATAAAATCCATCCATCCATCCATTCATTCATTCATTCATTCATTCATTCATTCATTCATTCATTCATATCTGCTGTAATATGAAGGTCTGGGCTTATTTTAGGCAGAATGTGGCTTTCCTAAGAATTTTTAAGTAGAATTTTTATGAGTAGCCCCTCATTCTAACATACTGCTCAGTGGATCAGTGATACCCGTTCTTTGAAGAAGCAAGTAGTGCCTAATATATCCTATGTAGGAAAGTCGACGGAAAGCCAGGCAGATGAAGCAACAGGGAGAGATGAAGTAGGAAAATGTGTGGACATGAAACTCTCACAATAAATGCAGGGTCATGATCCTGGCCCCTTATTACTGTAAACAAATTGCTTGCATCGTTGCTGTCAAATGCTGGGACTGATATAGGAAAAATGACTGTCAACTATTTTTGCTTAAATTATTGCTATTTCTTCATTTGTTCATTACGTACTTCTGAATACCTGGACCAAGATTCTAATTGACACCTTCCGGGCGCAGCACACTACTTGCAATAGGGATCAAGGACAATGAAGGTTGTACCTCTTCTCTTGGCTGTGCAGTAGCAGCTACATAGCATCCTAACAGCCTGTGCATGGGAGATGAACTGTGTGTAGGTGCTAGCCCAGGTTTGGGCAAACTTCAGCCCTTCAGGTGTTTTGGACTTCAGCTCCCACAATTTCTAACAGCCAGTAGGCTATTAGGAATTGTGGGAGTGGGAGTCCAAAACACCTGGAGGGCCAAGGTTTGCCATGCCTGGGCTAGCCACTTCACAGCTAGAAGAGAAGGATTGCACAGGGAGGTAATGCATACCTTCTTATGGCAGTATAACTCATCAAGAGAATCCTGGTTGTAGTTTGGTGTTCCAGGTTCTCTTGTATTTCCCCCGTCAGACTGACCCTGAGATATAACTATTAAACAGCAGCAGTGCACTAAATCTAAACAATAGCCAAGCACTGTAGAATAACTGTATTAGTAGATCCAAGCTGTTCCTTAAGAAGGTGAGGATCCTGGAATTGGGAATTTAGTGTGACTACTGTTTGGAGTCTTCCTGAACTGGTAGTTGGGAACTAGTAATGTTTCCTCTTCCTAAATTCATCTGTATCCCTTGTCTTGTTCTTCCAGTTCTGTGCGAGGGTCTGCTCAGGATGTTTGATCCTAGTAGTAGTGGGACACTATGTTCCAGGAATAATGATCTCCTACATTGTCTGTGAGTATCACTGAGCCTTTTCTCTCCCTTTAGACGAGACATGTGGGTTAAGTACACTTCTAATACATTATGATCTGTTTTCATACCTCTAGTGCTCAGTATCTTGCTGTGGCCACTGGTGGTATACCATGAGCTTATCCAAAGGATGTATACCCGCTTGGAGCCTGTCCTCATGAAACTGGACTACAGCATGAAGGTGGAGACCTTGCATCTTAAACATGAAAAGAAAAGTAAGACAAATTCTTACTAACTTTTGATTAAATGCATTTCTTTTGATGGTGGGATGAGATAAAAGCCCCAACAAGTCAAATTGGTCAATGAGAGACTAGACTCATTGAGAGCCCATGGATAGAGTGAGGACACGGTCTGCAAGAGTTGGGGATAACTTGATATAATTGTGCAGATGGGACAATTGCTATGAGGAAACTTGTCCCTCAGTGCACTTCCTGTTGGACTTGACCCACAGATACCTCAAATAAAATTTCTTTTCCACAGAGCGTCAAGGAAAGAGTGAGCCAGAAGCGGGTAATGAGCCAATGGCAGAGACGGAAAGCGAGAGTGAGGCAGAACTGTCCGGCTACTCTCCAGTGGTAAGGGTAACCATAGTAACATGAGGCTTCATATGCAGGAACTATCTTCCTTCAGGTAAGGGTTAGGGCTCCCCTGCAGGACTAGGAGGTTGGAGGTCTTGAATTTTTTGTTTTTAGTCAAGGGGTTTTGCTGCTCAGCTATAATCTACCATATTCCATCTGAATTGGTATGATTCAGTTTCTAGTGGGAGGAAGAGAACAAAAAGATGGCATTGTTGGGAGCTCTGAGCCTTTGAATCTTTAGATTGGGGAAATATCATTTCTCCCCCAGTTTCCTCTAAGTTTTTCCTCTTTGGAGTCACAGTCAATTGATCCCTCTTGGTTTGGATGGGTAGTCAGATGGCTGTCATGTAAGCCGCCCCGAGTCCCGTTGGGAAGATGGTGGCGGGGTATAAATAAAGTTTATTATTATTATTTATTATTATTATTATTATTATTCCCTGATATTCAATATACTAATTAGATATATGACCTATCTGACCCAGATATTCTACAGTGTAGTTAAAGTAAACCAACAAGGATGATAAAGTGCCAATCCTGCCCTGGCTGTCATCACTCTCCTGATCCGAAGGCTGCCAATCTGATGAGGAGTTTAATTCAAGTGGAGAGGGTGCTCTCTTCATCAGACTGTTGCTATTTCTTTATATACTTCATTTATATGCTGCTTTTCTCTCTTAGGGGGACGCAAAGCAGTTTCCGACATATTCACAACAAAAATGAATGCCTTACAACATATAAAAATCTAGTATAAAAGCAACTGTAACATATAACTATAAATTAAAATTAAGCCATATTAAATAGAGAAACAACAACATCTAGACATTTAAACATGGAATTAAAACATATTAATATAAACTCTAAAATCATATAATCCAGAAGCCGAAATTCAAGGCCTTTCCAAGTGTCAATTTCACATAATCTTTTTTTCTTTTCTTTTTTTGCATTGCTTACTGCCCATCATAAAAGTAGGGAGAGCTGAGGAGAGTAGATAGCCCAGTTCAAGGGTGATGCAAGGAATGAGGACAAGCATTACCATAGCATTTCCTGAAAGTGGGGCCCCTAAGCCCACAGGTATAGTCTAGTCATGGCTGTAATGGAAAGTCAACTCTCTTCCTTTTGATTCTTAGCCATTAATTCTAGTTAACCAAGTCCAGCTTTGGAAGAACTTCCTCACTTTCCCTTTTCCTTCAGGTGGATGTGAAGAAGACAGCTCTGGCATTGGCAATCACAGACTCAGAGCTTTCAGATGAGGAGGCCTCTATCTTGGAGAGTGGAGGTTTCACCGTCTCTAGAGCAACTACACCACAGCTGACAGATGTATCTGAAGGTACCATTTTTCTGTTGTCCAAATCCCAGTGCCATCTCCCCCAGCGGTCTACTGGGAGTTTAGTTTTGTGGTAAAGCATTAGCTGCTTGTTCCCTCATGGGAGACATTGCAAGAGGGGAACGAAAATAAAAAAGTGGCTACAGCGAAGCATTCATGGGAAAAAGATGAATGCAGTACTGGATATGATCAGATTGCTGTCAGTTTTGGTCCATGAATGCAGCTGCCCTTTCCATGAGGAACTGGGCTGCATGTATCCTGTCTCTGCAAATTACAGTGGCGGATCTAAAAACTTACTATTTGTTAGTAATAGTCACACCCTACTCTTCTGTGTCTTGCTTGCCATTTAGAGAAGACTTGTTGCTCCCCTGCACTTACTACTGGTGTTGACCTCAAACAAGCTGCCCTAATCTATACTGTAATATTATAAATAAGCTTTGGTTGGCTTCACTGCCCAGGACAGTTTTTCCCTACATTGCTCTTTACTTTTCTTCCACCACTTGGCAAGCAGGAGGGTAAGATACGGGAAAGGGAGATCAAAATATTCAGTTCGGCCCAAAATTTATAATAATAGATTGGCAATCCTAAAAGATGTTAACAACTCAAGGAAAAATCAAATCAGGCCCAAAATTTACAACAGAACATTGGCAGTCCCAAAAATCAATACTACAATTCGGCCTGAAATTAACAAAGATAAATTGGCAGTTTCAAAACATCCTCCCGACAAGATACAACTGAGGTGCCAGGATGGTGGTCCCTCCAGGTTAAAGGTGGTGCTGTTCAACGCCAGGTCAGTAAACGGAAAAACCTCTATTATTAAAGATCTAATTCAAGAGGAACAAGCTGACTTGGCTTGTATAACGGAGACCTGGTTGGACGAAGGGGGGGGGGAGGGGTGAATCTCTCCCAACTCTGTCCGCCAGGCTACTCTTTGCAGCACCAACCAAGACTTGGAGGGTGGGGAGGTGGAGTCGCAGTGGTCTATAAGGATTTTATCCCCCTGATCAGGTGTCCCATCCCACAGTCATCTGCATTTGAATGTGCCGGCTTTAGGATAGGTGACCGGGACAGGATAGGGATTCTGCTAGTGTACCGACCACCCCGCTGCACTACAGTCTCCTTACCTGAGCTAGCAGGAGTGGTCTCGGACATGGCATTGAGCTCCCAACGGCTTTTAGTCCTGGGAGATTTCAATGTCCATGCCGAGGCCTCCCTTTCCGGTGCGGCTCAGGACTTCATGGCCGCCATGGCAACCATGGGCCTGTCCCAATTAATATCTGGTCCCACCCATAGTGCCGGGCACACATTGGATTTGGTATTTTCCCAAGGATGGGATGGGGGTGACGGGGTGGAGGAGCTGACCATCGCTCCTTTGCCATGGACCGATCACCACTTGATCAGGTTTAGACTAACTGCGCCTCCCAACCTTCGCAGGGGTGGTGGACCCATTAGAATGGTCCGCCCCAGGAGGCTTATGGATCCAAATGGCTTCCTGATGGCTCTTGGGGATTCTCCCACCTCCTTGGCCAGCGATTCTGTCGATGTTCTGGTCTCTCACTGGAACAGTGAGTTGACCAGGGCCATTGATACAATCGCTCCGGAACGCCCCCTCTCGAGCAGCCGAGCTAAACCAGCCCCTTGGTTTACTAAGGAGCTGGCAGCGATGAAGCGAGAGAAGAGGAGGCTAGAGTGTGTGTGGCGCCGGAACCCCACCAATCCAGCTCAAACACTTCTGAATACCTTTTTAAGGTCCTACGAGGTGGCAATAGCGGCGGCACAGAAAACGTTTCTGGCAGCCAATATTGCATCTGCGAAGAATCGTCCAGCTGAGCTCTTCCGAGTTGTCAGGGGTCTGTTACATCCGCCAAAAAGCGAGGCCTCAGACAACTCGGTGGCTCGCTGTGAAGCATTTGCTCGATTCTTCGCGGATAAAATTGAGCGGATTCGGTCGGGTTTTGACGTCATGTTAACGGCAGTCTCTGGGGATGTAACGAGAGCATCTGCTTGTCCAGTTTGTTGGATTCGTTTCAATTGGTTCAGCTTGAGGATGTGGACAGGATCCGTGGAGAGGTGCGACCCACCACATGCATCCTAGACCCCTGTCCATCCTGGCTCAAGGAAGCCAGAGGGGGTTTGGCAGAGTGGGTGAAGGTGATGGTTAATGCCTCCTTACAGGAAGGAAAATTTCCAGCGAGCTTAAAACAAGCTATTATAAAACCGCTGTTGAAGAAACCATCACTGGATCCCACTCAATTCGACAACTATTGGCCAGTTTCCAATCTCCCCTATTTGGGCAAGGTCATGGAACGTGTGGTGGCAACACAACTCCAGGGGTTTCTGGTAGACACTGATTATCTAGACCCGGCACAGTCTGGCTTTAGGCCGGGACATGGAACTGAGACAGCCTTGGTCGCCTTGGTAGATGATCTACGCAGGGAACTAGACAGGAGGAGTGTGTCCCTGTTGGTTCTGCTGGACCTCTCAGCGGCCTTCGATACCGTCGATCACGGTATCCTTCTGGGGCGCCTCATGGACATGGGGCTCGGAGGCACTGCTCTGCGGTGGCTCCGATCCTTCCTTGAGGGACGATCCCAGAAGGTGTTACTGGGTGACACCTGTTCGGCCCCACAACCGTTGTTGTGTGGAGTCCCACAGGGTTCAATTCTGTCCCCGATGTTATTTAACATCTACATGAAGCCGCTGGGAGAGATCATTCGGAGTTTCGGAATGAGATGTTATCTCTACGCAGATGATGTCCAAATCTGTCACTCCTTCCACCTGTCACCAAGGAGGCTGTCCAGACCTTGAACCGGTGTTTAGCTGCTGTGTCGGACTGGATGAGAGCAAGCAAATTGAAATTGAATCCAGACAAGACAGAGGTCCTACTGGTCAGTCGTAAGGCCGAACAGGGCATAGGGTTACAGCCTGTGTTAGATGGGGTTACACTCCCCCTGAAGACGCAGGTTTGCAGCTTGGGAGTGATCCTGGACTCATCGCTGAGCCTGGAACCCCAGGTCTCGGCGGTGGCCGGGAGAGCTTTTGCACAATTAAAACTTGTGCGCCAGCTGCGCCCGTACCTTGGGAAGTCGGATCTGGCCACGGTGGTCCACGCTCTTGTTACATCCCGGATAGATTACTGCAACGCACTCTACGTGGGGTTGCCTTTGAAGACTGCTCGGAAACTTCAACTAGTCCAGCGAGAGGCAGCCAGATTGCTCACCGGGGCGTCATACAGGGAGCATACCACCCCCTGTTATGTCAGCTCCACTGGCTGCCGATTCAGTTCCGAGCACAATTCAAGGTGCTGGTTTTGACCTATAAAACCCTACGGTTCCGGCCCAGTGTATCTGTCCGAACGGATCTCCCTCTATGTCCCACCCCGGAGCCTAAGATCTTCTGGAGAGGTCCTGCTCTCGACCCCGCCTCTATCACAGGTGAGATTGGCGGGGACGAGAAGCAGGGCCTTTTCGGTGGTGGCCCCCCACCTGTGGAATTCACTCCCCGGGGAAATTAGATCTGCAACATCGCTCCTTTCTTTTAGGAAAAAACTAAAAACATGGATCTGGGACCAGGCATTTGGGCAGGCGGGCAAATAAAGAAAGAACTCTATTGATGGCTAGGAAATGACTAATGGACTGGACATGAGGAACTCTGGAAACGAAACGCTGATTATAAGAATGATCTTTATGATATTTTATATAATGTGTTATGCACCGGTTGTTGATGTTTTAACTGTGATGATCGTTTAACTACATTTTGTATAGTGTTTTATATTTTTGTATACTATGTATTATTATGTATAGGCATCGAATTCTGCCTTTTTTGTAAGCCGCCCTGAGTCCCCCTCCGGGGGTTGAGAAGGGCGGGGTAAAAGTACCAGAAATAAATAAATAAATAAATAAATAAGAAGAGTGGCTGCCATTGCTAAGACAAGGTGTTTCTCAACATACCACCCTAGAACACAGGCTTATCTTTAAAATTCTGTTTTATTGAAGGCAGTGGATATCTCCCAAGTTTTAATAAGAAGGCCTTTTGTATCTCCTAAATTTTAAAAAGAAGAAAGAATCAGGAATAGACCTATCTGTATCAGACAATCTAAAATCTGGGATAATGGTTGTTTTATTCTACTCAGTGGCCTGGTTTGAGAGAATTCCAGGATGCAAATATTGGAATGAACCTTGATGTGCAATGTCAGAATAAGGAAATATGCTAAAACAAGAAGCCAAGCGAGAATGTTCAGAAACAGTCTAAAACTCATGCTTGATTGAGCAGGCAGCTGAAATGGAGTAAAGTTTGTGGATTTAAACTCTGAACTTCTGGAAATGTTCATATTAACTGGCTCTCAATCTGTTTTTCAGATTTGGATCAACAAAGCCTGCCCAGTGAGCCTGAAGAGTCCTTCTCCAAGGACATGGCGGAGTTCCCCTCCGTGGAAGAGTTTCATTCCAGAGACTTGGGACCACCCAGTGAGGATGACAATTTTGCGGTGCCTGCTCATGCTGCCCAGCAGTTGGACTCTGCTCAGGAAGAAGCGGTGGCAACAGCGGCCCTGATTTCGGACCCATCCATCCTGTGCCTGGCCTCACCCCTCCATTTTGTAAATACGCATTTCAATGGGAATGGGCAGGCGGTGGCAGGAGCAGCTCCTGAGCTCCAGGCTGCCTCCTCAAGAGGCCTGGGGCTGCACATTGATTCCCTGAGCCAAGAGATCGTCTCCACTGCTATCAGTACCGTAGTGCAAAACACCCTGTCAGCCCTGCTCCGCTCCTCTGAGGACAGTGAGGGGCCTTCCCTCTCAGAGTTCCTGCCCACTGAGCCTGAGGAGAGACTCAGTTTCCAGACGCAGCTGTCTGAGAGTGAGGAGGTCGCCGCAGCTTCCCTCGCTGGTGAGGAGGAGGAAGCAGATGACTTCGAGCTGCTTGATCAGAGGGAGCTGGAACAGATGGATGCAGAGCTGGGCCTGTCTGGAGAAGCCACAGCTCCAGAGGCTTCTCCTCTTCCTCCTGAAGAAGAATCACCGCCTGGCTCCTAGGTCCTGCTGTTCTCCTGCATTTGAATAGCTGCAAGGAAGGACAAATAAACACGTGGCAGGGTTTGATCTATGCTGACAAGAGATGGCAGAGCATCTACATTCACAGTGTTATGTCTGGAATAGTGAATTGTTGCTCCCCATCCCCTTCTTCTTCCTGTGTTGACCTTCCCATCAGGTCACTGTGTCCACCCGTGCTTCCTAGTGACAATGCAGTCTTCTTGTTTGCTGCTGCAGTCTTTTTGTCTTTGTCTTTGTTTTGTTTTTTTGCACACCGCATCTAGGTATACCTGCTGCTCATCCCTCCCCACCCAGGAGGAGGTTGAGTGGTTTTATTAGATGGGACGGTTCGGTCTAAATTGTAAATAAAATTATTAATACATTGGTTGTTTAGTTCAAGAAGAATGAAGAATTGTTATATGGAAAAATTAGTTGGTGAGAGCTCCCCCTCCCTTTATATAGAAACCTGGATGGGGAAGGGAAACAGTCTCAAAGGAGACAACCATCATTTTGCTGTCAGAATGAGAGGAAAGGGCACACTTGGGCTTTCCGACCCACTTTACACCATGTAGCAATACCTTTTTCAGTTTCAAGCATTGTTTTTCCTTCTCCATCATTTTAACCACCTCACCTAATATCCTCCCTGTAGAAATATGTCTATGATAGACCTGGGTTAGGCTTCAGGAGAGGAGAGCCCAGTCGGTTCTGAACGGCAAGTTAGGATTTTTGAAGCCTCTTTAATTTACTTTTAAAAAAATACAACTTAATTTGAGGTAGTCTGAAAGCTTCCTTTTTTGCATTCTGCTGCCACTGCACTTTAAATACAAAATACTCCTATTTGTGCTTGTTCTTACCTTGTCCTCAAACCTGACCAAACCAATCCTGCTTAGTGATTTACCCTGGGCTGCATAGAAGCTTTTATTTCCCTTGGTCTTGTTCCTGGGAGATGGAAGGAACAACTTGAGAAGAAATTATATGTCCGAGATAGCAGAAAGAACCCCCAGAGTTTCTGTGGGGCAAGCCCTCTAATTTCTCCTTCTGCCTCTTTCAATGTGCTAAATATTTCTCCCTTTATAGTTTTTTTCTCTAGTTAAAGTAGTGTGCCTACTTGTGTTCTCAGGACATGGGAGGAGTGTTTTGCTGTTATTACACCAAAGGTGGTTAATTCCTGTGGAGGGTGCTTCTTGCACAGCTTTACAGTGCTTTTTTTTAAAAAAATGGAAATCTAGTTGGAACTACTAAGTAACACAATCTTTGAAAATGTGATTTTAAAAAATTACACCCATAAATTTACGACCATATGGTGGTTTTTATTATATAGAAGCAGATCTCTCTTGCCCATCCAGAGTGCATCACATAGGTGTATTGCAAGACTATGTTTTGCTTCTGGCAATCCCCTCCAGCCAGGTGGAAACAGTTTATTGTCTGGAAGAGTTTTCCTTTTTGTCTGTTCTCCAGGGATTGCAGTGTAGGATATGGCAGTGATATTGCAAACTGATTTGTGAATTGCTCATTATCTCACTGTGTAAAGTGTTCAGGGATGGGCACTTCCTGATGCTCCTGATTCTCTAATAAGAGCAAACACAGCTTAGTTTTATAGATCTTAACCCTCAACCTGGGATAGCTTTGCTGCAGACTTCAGTATTTTAGCTGCACCCAATAATATTTTCCAAACTGTAAGGCTTTCTTTCCTTTGGTCTATTTCGGAAGACATTTGTTGTGTTATTCAGTTCCGGCACCCCAAGAGTAAGTTGGATTCCTTTTCTTGGTTTCTCAAATGGATTTCTTGGAATCTACTTGTGATTTTCTTCGCAGGATTGACTCTTATTCTGTCCTGTGTTGCCTGATCCGCAACCTCCCTTGATCAAATGTTGTGGAGGTACAGCTGTTAAAAAAACAGCATCCTCTTAATGTCTGCACTTTGGAAATGGGAAGCCGTGTGGCACTGAGTGTGATGCTTGCCCACCTCTGTTTTATGTCCTGAGCACAGATTTTCCCACCTCCTCTTGATAACCGGAAGTTCTTGTTTTTTCCTTCTGGTAAAGGAGGCATGTGATGTATTGGTATTTCTCTCTGGAGCACTAAGCACTCCTTCTTTCTTTGGGTGGCAACAGTGCCATGTTGCTCTGGGACTGGGGCCTCCTAATGAAGGACTAGAAGATTGCTGGTGTTACCTAGGAAAGGTGGAGGGCTTTAAACTGTGTAGCAGTGTTTATTCTATGGCTAAATATTTAAAAAGTAAAATGTAGTCTTTTAAATAAAAAAATGAAAGATGTGAATTTGGGATTTAAAATGTTGTTTTTTAGCTCATGTGTCAGAAATTCCTGTTTGCTTCTTTCCTTTTCTCCCTTCCACAGAAAGCTCTGCTGTATTAGAACGAACCATTTGTGCTCATGCCCCCTCTCTCCGAAGAGCCATATTCCATTCAACATTCACTGCATCAGCTTAGCTAAGGATCAGTTGCTTTTCCAGATTCAGGTGATTTTGCCAGGAATTATTTTGCAGAATGCAGGAATATGCCCACATATCCTCATAGAACACCTTTATGTTCTCAGGTTTGGTTTATATAAGCCACAAAGGAGATAATAAAACTTTTTTTCTCTATTTCACAATAGTGGGGACGTATACTATTGAATGCTCTTCCTTGCAAAGTGTCCCTTGATGTAAAAAGTAGCACATCAAGAGAAATCTTCTAGATCAGTGTGCTCCGTGGAGCTCTTGGGCATACTGAGGGTCGCTGTGGTTCCTGCCTTCATCGCTCCCCATGCTTTCCCTCCTTTTTCCTGCTCCTCCCGCTCCCTGCCTTTTTTGCCACCAAAAGCCATTTCCCCTCGTTTTTCTCACACACACCCCCCCCCCCGTCCTTTTTTTTCTAGCTTCCCTTGCTGCAAAAAGCCTTTCCCCTCTGCCTTTCTTGCTTCCAAAACCCTATTTCCCTCCCACCACTCAGAGGGTGCTTCGATTGTGCTTTTCCTGCATGGCAGAGTGGGGTTGGACTGGATGGCCCCAGGGGTTGTTCCTATTACTGTTATTATTATTACAAAGACTGGGTGGCCATCTGTTGGTGGTGCTTCAATTGTGCTTTTCCTGCATGACAGAAGGGTTTTGGACCTTTTGGGTCTTCCACTGAAATACTGTTAAGTTTATGTTGGGTAAAATTGTTCTTCATTTTAAATATTGTATTGTTCTTTCTTTCTTTCTTTCTTTCCTTTTTTTTTTTTTGGACTGTGTGATTAGTGCAGTGTGCATAGGAATTTCCCCCCCCCCCCCCCCCCCCGATCAGTTCACACAAACATCCTCCATTTATTTGTCATTGGCCCGGCTGTCAAATTTCAAAAGATTTGTCAGTGCCTGATATAAATATTTTATAATATAATACGTAAACATGTCTGGGACTCCACAACAAACTTTTGCTTCAAAATGGGGTCCGTGACTGAAAAAGTTTGAGAACCCCTTTTCTATATTCTCATTGATCTGACAGCAGCTCCTAGATGTATCTGAGTATTTTTCTTTGCATAAGAATATTGAAACATGTGGCACCCTCTCCCTCATGCACAGTCTCAAGTTGAAAAACCTGAACATAAGTTTCCTGTGGATCTGCTGTTAATGAGCACTAGGACCTATCAACCATGGGAATCAATGATGACACCCTTCAATGTCTGTGTTGTTATTAGAAGAATTGGGTCTCATACACCAACCACAATAGTATCTTTCACTTGTATTTTAAATTCTGCCTTTTTGTACATATGAGTACTTGCTCCTGATAGATGGGGAGATCTTTTTGCAATCTTATTTGCTACTATTTAGACCAGAGATATTTTTTGCAGAAGTTGGGGAACCCATTGAACCGGCTACAATCAAACTGTTCCTGTGGACAAAAGTAGGCTCAAAATCAAATGTAAAATTGTAACTGCCCTCCTCCCTCGCTCCAAATCCTCCAATATGTTATGGTAACATATGTTTTCATCTTAGCTATCTATTCTGTTTTATTAATATATTTGGATAGATTAGGCTTAATTGTATGACTGCTTTCTATAAGCACTTCACTTCAAATATGTAGGAGGAAAACGTCAGCTTTCCTATGATAATGCAACCAAGCATGTGTGTTACAGTACTCCAGAGATTTACCTTTTCTCTTTGTGGATACTAGAAATAACCTATCAACACAATGGTGCTTTGGCTTCATAAAATGACACTTGTCTATAAAGTATGGAACGGTGACCAAAGGACCTTCAGTATAACTATCATAGTCTAAATGTTTATTTGGGGGATCTGAATGTAGGATGCACCAGATTATAACATGGATTTATTTTCCTTGTTTGCTGTATGTTTTCTGATTTGCTTTACAAAGCAAGACTGCAACAGCAGCATTTCATAGTTACTACCACACAGACATCACAGTGATCCAAATATACGCCCCAACCACAGCTGCTGAAGAAGCAGAAGTAGATCAGTTCTATGAGGATCTGCAGGACCTACTGGATAATACACCAAAAAGAGACATTATTTTCACTACAGGAGACTGGAATGCCAAGGTGGGAAGTCAAATGACAACAGGGATCACAGGCAAGCATGGTCTGGGAGAACAAAATGAAGCGGGACGCAGGCTGATAGAATTTTGCCAGGAAAACTCGCTGTGTATAAAAAACACTCTCTTCCAACAACCTAAAAGACGGCTTTATACATGGACTTCACCAGATGGTCAACACCGAAATCAGATTGACTACATCCTTTTGCAGCCAAAGGTGGCGGACATCCATCCAGTCGGTGAAAACAAGACCTGGGGCTGACTGTAGCTCAGATCACGAACTTCTTATTGCAATTTAGAATAAAACTAAAGAGATCAGGGAAAATACACAGACCAGTTAGATATGATCTCACTAACATTCCTAGCGAATATACAGTGGAAGTGAAGAACAGATTTGAAGGACTAGATTTAGTAAACAGAGTCCCAGAAGAACTATGGACAGAAGTCCGCGACATTGTTCAGGAGGCGGCAACAAAGTATGTCCCAAAGAAAAAGAAAACCAAGAAGGCAAAATGGTTGTCTGCTGAGACACTGGAAGTAGCCCAAGAAAGGAGGAAAGCAAAAGGAAACAGTGAAAAGGGGAGATATGCCCAGTTAAATGCGGAATTCCAGAGGTTAGCCAGAAGAGATAAGGAACTATTTTTAAATAAGCAATGCATGGAAGTGGAGAAAGACAACAGAATAGAGAATAGAGAAGGGGGGAGGGAGAGAGAGGAGGAGAGTATGAGAGGTAAGAAGGGGGGGGGAGAGCAAGGAGAAAGGCGGAGAGGGAGAAGAGGAGGAGAGAGAAAAAAAAAAGCGGTCTCTGCTTGTGGTCTGGACTCCTCACCCAAGCTGGTTTTGTGGTTGGGGTGGGCATGGCAGAGTATTTGTGTGTTTAAAAGCAAATCTTCATTAGGAGATTATGAAAGGGAGAGGAGAGGAGTGAGATTTGTTATATAGCTGCTTAGATCTATTTTTTTATCTTCGTCCTTCTCCCTCTCTCTCTCCCTCCCTCTTCTCTTCCCTCTTTCCTCCCCCTCCTCTTCCCCTTCTTTCCCCCCTTCTCCCCTTCCTCTCTTCCTCTCCTCCTCTTCCTCTCTCCCCCTCTCCCTCTCCTCTCCCCTCCCCTTTCTTTCTCCTCTCCTCCCCCCTCTCTCTCTCCCCTTCTCTTCTCCCCTTCCCTCTCCCTCCCTCCTCCTCCCCTTCCCTCCTTCTCCCTCTCTCCCTCCCCCTCCTCTTCCCTCTCCTCCTCTTCTCTCTCTCTCCCTTCCTCTTTTCCCTTTTCTCCCCTCCCTCTCCCTCTCTCTCCCTCTTCCCTCCCTCCTTTCCCCCTCCCTCCCTCTTTGCCCCCTCTCTCCCTTTCCCCTACTCTGTTCATGCGTGCGCGACCGCGTGTGATCGTTCCCTCTCACATCAACCCTTCTTCGCACTCCCCCCCTGCCTTTCCCCACCCACCACCGAGACACCCTCACCTCTCCCATCGCATATTATCTCTCATCTCCAGACCAAAATCATTAGAAACAACACTTGGAGGTACACACACACACAGACAAAAAAAAAAAAATTTTTACAGTATCATCCTCTTCCCGAAAATTAGAAACATTGGAGGTAAATTTCAGGCAAAAATTGGTATGAGATAAGAAACAAAGATGGCAGGGACCTAACAGAAGCTGAAGAGATAAAGAGAAGGTGGCGAGACTATACAGAAGATCTGTATAGGAAGGATAATAATATTGAGGATAGTTATGACGGTGTGGTGAATGAATTAGAACCAGACATCCTGAGGAGTGAAGTTGAATGGGCCTTAAGAAGCATTGCTAACAACAAGGCAGCAGGAGACGATGGGATCCCAGCTGAACTGTTTAAAATCTTAAAAGATGATGCTGTCAAGGTGATGCATGCCATATGCCAGCAAATATGGAAAACACAAGAATGGCCATCAGACTGGAAAAAATCAACTTATATCCCCATACCAAAAAAGGGAAATGCGAAAGACTGCTCAAACTTCCGTACAGTGGACCTTATTTCTCATGCCAGTAAGGTAATGCTCAAGGCCCTGCAAGGAAGACTCCAGCAATACATGGAGCAAGAGTTGCCAGATGTACAAGCTGCGTTTAGAAAAGGCAGAAGAACAAGAGACCAAATTGCCAATATCTGCTGGATAATAGAGAAAGGCAGGGAGTTTCAGAAAAACATCTAGGAACGAGAGACCAGATTGCCAATATCTGCTGGATAATGGAGAAAGGCAGGGAGTTTCAGAAAAACATCTATTTCTGCTTCATTGACTACTCTAAAGCCTTTGACTGTGTGGATCATAATAAATTGTGGCAAGTTCTTGGGGGGATGGGCATACCAAGCCACCTTGTCTCTCTCCTGAGGAATCTGTACAAGGACCAAGTAGCAACAGTCAGAACTGACCACGGAACAACAGACTGGTTCAAGATTGGGAAAGGCGTACGGCAAGGCTGCATACTCTCACCCAACCTTTTTAACTTGTATGCAGAACACATCATGCGATGTGCGGGGCTGGATGAATGCAAAGCTGGGGTGAAAATTGCTGGAAGAAACATTAACAACCTCAGATATGCCGATGACACCACTCTGATGGCCGAAAGCGAGGAGGAGCTGAGGAGCCTTCTAATCAAGGTGAAAGAAGAAAGCGCAAAAGCCGGGTTGCAGCTAAACGTCAAAAAAACCAAGATTATGGCAACAAGAATGATTGACAACTGGAAAATAGAGGGAGAAAATGTGGAGGCCGTGAAAGACTTT